TCATGCGGTGTACGTGTGTTTTGTGGATCTAGAAAAAACTTATTACAGGATCCCACGCAACAGTCTGTGGACACGCCTTCGTGCATATGGGATAGATGGCCAGCTACTAAGGTCCATCCAATTACAGTATTCTGATAGCAGGTGCTGCGTCAGAGTAAATAGCGTTAAAGTCGAAACCATTCAAAGTTCGCACTGGTCCCCGCCAAGGCTGTGTCCTGTTCCCTGTCCTGTTGTACATGGATAGAACAGTCATGAGCTGCCAAGACGATGAGTACACCAGTGTAGGAAATGTGAAGCCGAGAAGGTTGCAGTCTGCAGACGACCTTGTTTTACTGGCATGTTCTGAAACCGATCTACAGTGCTCTCGGGAAAGGTTCGCAGCCGATTGCGACACGGCGGGCATAAGTGATCTTACCTAAAACGAAAAGCCTCCTGTCCATCGCTCCGTTCAGATAAATGGAGAACAAGAAGAGCTGGTGGAGAAGGTGACGTATCTCGGGATCGTGTTTACTCGGAACAGAAGATGTGAGGAAGAAATCGACCGGCGGTTTGAAATAACACGTAGAGTTCTGCGTCAAGTAGGCCGAACCACGGACTAAAGCAGAGCTGAGTCTGAAGACTAAGCTCTAGGTACTGAAATCGATCTTCATCCTCATCCTTACCTACGGTCATAAGTTATGGACCATGACTTAACAGACTTCGATCGCCGGTACAAGCTGCTGAAATGGGATTTGTGAGACTAGTCCCTGACCTTAGGCGTCATGATTTAGTCGAAAATACAAACATCCGCGAGAACCTTTGTGTACAGCTGATGCTTCTTCAGGCTGAGTAGTCACAACTGCGATTGTTTGGGCATGTGTTTCAATAGCCTCCACAGAGAAATGTGAAACAACTCTTTGTTTCTCAGCCGACTGGCGGAGAGCCCCAGGAACGGCCAACATTACCCTAGTAATATATGGAAGGAGTATGCTCCAGATTCCAGTTGTCTTTTGCCGAAGCTTAGACGACTCTAGCTCACGGTCGGGAACTTTGGAATCACTGTCTGACATCTGCCTCTGCGACCAAAATGTGAAGCGGTCAAGGAATATGAAAATAAAGATTTGACCTTCATGAATAATGGTTCGATCCTCTGTTGACAGGCTATCCAACGAAACTTTATTATACTGGGAAATAAGTATATAAATAAAGTATTATTTTGTAACGCGACACGAACTTTCAGAATTTGAACTAAAGATGACGATTCGTCTGACTGAGCAACACAGCAACTTCGTCATCTTCAGCAAACAAATGCACGATTTATTCAAATAATAAATTTAAAATATTCTGTGAAAGAACCAACGACATGATTAATTTTAAAATTTATTCATTCTGTCGACAGTGTGAACGTTTACTACAATACACAACTCGTCAACTTCCCACAAAAACGGATGAAATCGCAAAAGTAAATTCCGAAAAATACTTCATTTTGCAAGAAATTTACCCTCAATTTTTCGGTGATCTCCGTTGCAGGTTCCATTCCCCAATACGGCAAAATCGGTGCTTTGGGTTTTGATACAAAACCAGCGATAAACAACCACGGCCGCAGTACCCTGTCCTACAAACAGGAACGAAATTGTTCATACAGTACCCCATGATTAACCTGATGATCTTTTAAATTTCTGCACTGTGATTTCTTCTAAATCTATAACATCATTCAGTGCTTCGTTGTCCCAGTGACATCGTTTAACTAATCATGAATTCTGTTTCTGCTATCCTGAGTTATAGACAAACATGTGTAATTCTTATGCTATAACCAGTCAAACATAGTTCC